GCGGTCCGGGCGTTTCTCCAATTCCGACCATATCTGTACGGCTGCTCATTCAAGGTCGTCAGCGATCACCACTGAGTTTGCTGGATAACTCACTTAAAAGACCCATAGAGCCGTTTGGCACGCTAAAGTCTTCGGCTTCAAGAGTTTGATATAACCATAATTTGAAAATCATGGAGGATACTTACTGATGGAGACTTTCTCGCGCGGTCAGCCATTGAGCCTGCCACTGATAATGAAGACACTATTGACGACGCATTCTCGGGAGTCCTGAGCACGGCCACTATTTGACAAGAGCAGCGCAGTGAACCCTACCTGATTCCGCTTATCGACTTTTCAGAAGGACGACGTAAAGCCGTGCTGCAAGTTTTCGCCAGAGGGCTACCGTCCTTTTTGTTTAAGCAACGATGTTCTACACAAAAAAAAAAAACGTTTCTCCCACCGGCAGCCCTTCCTCTTGTTGCTCATCGTCTCTACATCACTCCGAAGAGAAGTTCTGGAAGCCTGCCATGACGAAATCATCTCTGGTCATCTCGGCTACACTCGCACATTGTCCCTACTGCAAAACAACTACTGCTGGCTGAAGCTGCCTACTGTTGGTAAAACATCACGTTCAAACCTGTACCAACTTCCGAAAACGCTGAGCGCCCCCTGGCAGGCCAGCAGAATCACTAAATTTCGTCCAAGTACTTTGACCACCCACATGTCCACTAATTCCAACAGCTCCACAGGAGCATCGGTTGTTTCATTCAGTAATGTGCTGGTTCAATACACGTTATCTCACACCACGACGTCGACAGCAGCAGAACTTTCCGCACTTCAAGGCACAGTCAAGTACGTTCTTCGACAGCAACGGGCCATGTCTTGCGACTCGAGGTCAGCTTTAAAAAACCTAAGGTTCGCTATACAGCATGGGCTACACGAACAATCAGTATATCAGACAAGGCACAGCTACCACGAAGCACCTCAGGAAGGTCACGATATCCTATTTCAACGGTTGCCCAGTCATTGCGGAATCGTCTGCAATGAACGCGTGAATGAAGCTGCTTGATCGGCTTATGATCAAGACCGGCGGTCGCCCATGCTACTCTTGAAGTGGATGCTTCAAGACAACTACAATCACTTTCTCGACATATATCTCTGCTACAATGAAATACGCCGGGTTTGTCCAACGAACGCCTGTATTAGATCAACCCAAACTTGCAACTTCGTTGGCCATGCGGGCTCCCACGACGCGCTGAAACTTTGCTGTGTGGCATGAGGTCGGCCGTGCTATTTACTAGTTTTCTTGGAATGGCGAGCAGTTCAGCATGCAGCATTTGCGCCTTGCGAGGAGACGCTTGAGCACGTTGTATGCCACTGCCCAGCACATTAGTCTGAATGATGCATCATGGAAGCCAAGTTCCGTCAGCTCCAATGACGATCACATAAAGGAAAGAAGATCCTGGTACCTTAGCCAACGGTTTCGAATTCGCTCAAAGCAACTAAAGCCCTCTTGTGTTTTTAAGGACCACTGAACTGCACGAGCGCTTGTGAAAGAACAGCGTGAGACCATGCTCTGTAGTCTCGAGCTGACTATTATTCATTCTCTTTTTTACTCCTATTCTCTATATTTTCCCTTTCTATTATTTTTCTTTTACCCAACCCCAAGTGTAAGGTAGTCAACCGAGCCAAGTTTCGTAAACCTTCCTGCCTTTCTTGCCCCGCCGCGGTGGTCTAGTGGCTAAGGTACTCGGCTGCTGACACGCAGGTCGCGGGTTAGAATTCCGGCTACGGCGGCTGCATTTCCGATAGAGGAGGAAATGTTGCAGGCCCGTGTACTCAGATTTGGTTGCTCGTTAAAGAACCCCAGGGGGTCGAAATTTCCGAAGCCCTCCACTACGGCGTCTTTCAAAATCATATGGTGGTTTTGGGACGTTAAACACCACACATCAATGAAATCCCTGCCTTTCTTTTTTAATTTCTCTATCTCTCTTTTCAAATACAAGCAAAGGCATTCTCGCAAATCGGAATGGATTTCCTGAGCCCATTCCCAACCTCTATTACATGGAACCGATGGATCATTGTCGCAACCAATTACTTGTCTCGTTACGCATATAGTAAAGCCATGCCGAGGGGCACAGCAGCAAAAGCCACTCAATTTTTCGTGAAAAACGCCATCCTTCGGCACGGCGCTTCAACAGTTCTGTTTAGAGATAGAGCTACTGGGTTCACGGCAGCACTTCTGAGCCGGTTCTCCGGCTCAGCGGTAGAGCTCACCGGAGAACAACGGTGTACCATCCCCAAGCTAATGGACTAATGAGTGTCCTGATAAGACCCTCGCAGACATGCTCTGCATGCACATTACAGAGCATAAAAACTGGGATGAAATCATGCCTTATGTGACCCTCGCCTATTATACCAACCCGCAGGAAACTACCGGAATGACGCATTTTAGTTTAATACACCCTCGCATAGTCACTACGACGTTGGCTGCTATACTGCCGCACGAGTGTGAATACACTCATACCGACGCTGAAGAATTCGGTCAGCGCGCCGAAGAAGCCCTAAAGCTTGTCCGCGTGCGCATTTGTCACCATCAACACAAAGATGGGAAACGGTACCACCTACGGCGGAAAGTAGTTACCTAAACCCGAGGCCACAACGTTGGGGTCTGGGTCCCTATACGTCGTCGCGGACTTTCAGAAAAGCTATTAAGACGAAGCTTCGGCTCATATCGAGACACCTTAAGCTTTAATGACACCAACTACGAAGTGATTCTCGACTCCGATAGCAGTTCCAGTCGCCAAAAGCGTTCACCCGAGGTCTTGCATGTCCTCCGGATGAAACCCTACTTGTCCAGCTAGCCCTTGCTTGTCTTGTGGGCACCAGTGTGTATTTGTGCGTTTTCATACGTAGAGCGGTTCGGAATGATGCCATTTTAGGAGGGAGGCAATTGCCACGTGCGTGCTGCAAGGAAGACAAGGACTACACTGCATACGCGCATCTTCACGCTTTTATGCAGGAAGCAATAACGAGAAAGCCGATCAACGCTCTAGTGTGCGGTAAATAAAAAGACCGATCTGCTGCTGGTTTCTCAGCCTTTTCAATACGACCTGTGTCTTCACGTCCTGACAACAGGAAATGTTATGCGCTCTGCTACCAGCTATAAGCTCCACAACTTCGTTCTTTATCGTCACTTTTTTACCCCACTGCTTGCTGCATTAAATATACAAATTTGTGCGCTTTGCTGCCACCTATAGACTCCACAAATCTGCTTTTATTTACCACTTCCTTTACCCAACTAGTTGCGGCGTATGTTATATGTAAGGTTTGCGCCCTGCTACAAGTAGTAAGCTCCAAAACTTCGCTTTTTATTCTTACTTATTTACCTACCTCCTTGCTGCATTTATAATAGAAGGTTATACACTCTGCTACCAGCTTTAAGCTTCACAAATATGCTTTTCAGCCTCTTTTTTACGTTTTTATTGCATTCAATATACAAATTTATGCACTCTGCTATCAGCTATCAGCTCCAAAAAAGCTTGCTTTTCCTCTTCACTTCCTAACTCACCTTCTTGATGCTATTATTATACAAGGCTACGCACTCTGCTGCCTGCTCTAAGCTCCAGAAATCTGACTTTCATCCTTACTTCTGTTTCCACATATATTTGCTGCATTTATTATATAACGTTGTGCACTCTGCTGTCAGCTATAGGCTCCGCAAATCTGCTCTTCATTCTCACTTCCTTCACCTACCCCTCTGATGCATTTTTACACAAGGTTATGCACTCTACTGCCAGCTATGAGATCCACAAATCTGCTATTCATCCTCACTTTCTCTACCCACTACTCTACACAGCGTTTAATATACGAGATTATGTACTCTGCTGCCAGCTAAAGGCTCCACAAGTCCGCTCTTCATCCTCATTTTTACCCACTTCTTTGCTGCATTTGATATACAATGTTCTGCGCTCTGCTGACAGCTATAAGCACCACAAATCTGCTTTACATGTTCACTTCCTTTACCCACCTCGCTGCTGCATTTAATATACAATGTTCTGCGCGGTGCTACCATCTAAAGACTCCACAAATTTGGTCTTCATTCTCACTTCTTTCTGATCCCTTTGCTGCATTTGATTTACAAGGTTACGCGCTCTTCTGGCAGCTATACTTTCCACAAATATGCTCCTCATCCTCAATTTTTTTAGCCACCTTCTTGCTGAATTTTATATACAAGGTTATGTGCTCTGCTACCAGTGATCATCTCCACGAAATTGCGTTTTATTCTTGCTTTCTTACAGTTAAGGTTATCTAACATTATGTGCTATTCTACCAGCTATAAGCTTGACAGAATCGCTCTTCATCGTCATTTTTCCGGTCTTCTTGCTGTATTCCTTAAGTTGGGTTCTTCGCTCTGGTATCCATGTGCTTTGTTTTTAGAGATCCTGTGTAGGAAATCAATAACAATGATCATTTAGGATGTTTGCCTGCAATCTTGCGATGTATGTCTGCTGGCCTATGCTGTTGATGTTGCATTTGTATGTACTAAAAAAGAAAAACGGGAGAATAGCATGGAAGATTACGCTCAGGTTTAGCGTACGCATTGGAACAGTATTGAACAGAAAGAGGAGCTTTGGATTATGGCAAAATTTGAGGCAGCATACACCCACTGTTCTTTGAGAACTGTAGTCTAGCAGTGTAACATGCAAATTTACCGCTATACAGATACAGAGAAAATACGCAGTTTTCAAGAGAAAACGCGGATTTAATGAGCACAAACACTTTATGCTGGGTGGGGCATTGTCCGGGTTCTGCACTGTAGAATGACTAATATTCAGTGTTTTGTTGAATTATTACAATATTTGTCTATAATTCTAAATGCACAAAACATTTCTCGTAAGGTCAGAGAACATGCGTAAGCATTACGTAGTGACCACCTGTTCTTGCAGCAGGTGGTCAGTAGATTTCTATTCTTGAGAGATCAGCCAAACCCGTTAATTCTCACAATAAGTCAAGACATGTCGGAGCTGTACCAGAATTTATTTGCCTCCATCATGGACAATAGTTTGTAGAAAGTATCCCACTACTTATTCGAGATGGTTTCTTCTTATCATCATTTCGCTAAACAACTCACGAAGCCCAGATAAGCATTGGAGCACCGAGAAAAAAGCGATAAAATGCTTGGCATGTTATATCAATTCAAACAGTTAAACTTGCATAAATAAAGTGAGCCAGCCTTACGCATGCTGGTGGGTGATGCATGCTACATGGATACAATGTGTCAACGTAACGTTAGCTCGACTTAAAAATATATGCAGGAACACGTTCTTTCGACGTGACCAAATGCATGTTGCTCACCGTTGCCTGAAGTTACACTATTTTTTGTGTTCTAAAATATTGTTTATTTAGATATTTTCAATAGGCTACCTTTTCAATAAACGAATATAGATAACAAAGTTCAATTAGAAAGTTGTAGATTGGTTTGCAAAATGCCCGAATAGCCAGTTGTGAACTTTATATCTACGAGGTATTAGTGTTTTTCATGCTGATTATAAATGCCCGCAAAATACAAAAAATACCACGCGTAAACCCCGCTGGTGCGCCAATGCGCACAATGATTATAGGGCTCCTTAACATTCTGCGTATGAACGATCATAGCATTTGCCCCACAAAAACGACAACGGCTGCTTATCGCTGTCATGAACCTGTGTCATGAACGTGTGGTTTGTATGCGGAATGATAGGGAGCACTACAATCTTCGTGCGCATTGAAGCGCGAGTGGGTTCGCCGCGTGTTATTTTTTATTTCGAAGGCATTTATTTCGGTAGAAAAACACTAATACTTACCAGATATAAAAGTTCAAAACAGTCTATTTGGACGTTTTGCGAACCTATCTACTTCTTTTTCGCTGAAATTCTCTACCATTTTTGTTCCTTCAAAAGTTAGTTAATTAAACAGACCTAAGTAAACAACAGTTGAGAACACAAAAGATAGTCCAACTGTGGGCAACAGTGAGCAACATGAATTTGGTCACGGCGTAATAACGTGTTCCGGCATATTTTTAAACTCTTGCTAAAGATACGTTGGACACTCTGTATATGTAATGCATTAACAACACAATAATGACAAGGGCAGAATGGTGAAATGATTTGGACATTTCCTTTCGAATCGTCGGTACGTGAGTCGAATCTCGCCTCAATTTTTTCCAGCATTTCTTTCTTTCTTTTCTTCTTCTTCTTCTCCGTATTCTTACCTTGCCCAACAAGTTACTGCCTAGTTCGCTGGACAAAGTGGCGAGTCTTCCGGTAGCCAAGCAGGAGAGAAGGGCGATGAAGAAAAGGATGAAAATGGCACGTGTACTCGTTTATCACGATGGCCATCTTTTATCTACGACACACGGCCAGACTCGACCTTGACGGCTCTCCATAAAACATGCCGAAATCTTTATTTACAATACTGTCAGTCTCATGTCGATACCAAAGCAGGTGGGCGTATATTTTACAGAAATACAGGTTTCATTACAAAGACCATAAAACAAATACAGCACTTTTTCTGTGTAAAGATGCATCAAACAAATGCACTAAGCTGAAATGCACTGAAAGTGAAATCTCGAACACTGATATATGAATTAAAATGCAACAAAATTGTGCAAATAACTCAAATATGCGAAATCAGAATTAGGTTTGGTGCAAGAAAGTGGAAGTTAAAAAATGTCAGTACAAAAAAGTTGCATGAGATAATGTAAGTTGAAAAACATTGTTAAGCAAAGACTGTTTACTAATTGCTTATAGCATCTTCACACATCTTCGCAAAACCTGACTGCGATAGGTCGTTAGTTTTAGATGTATTTAGGCTATTCCACTCAAGGACGATACACAGGAAAAAAAAACGTGGTCACGCGGACATCATACTGTGAAAGGCAATTCTTTTTAATGATTATCCGCATCAGTCCCGTTGCCTGTGTCTAGTGCCGTCCATCGGAAGGCGCATGCTGGGGCCACAAGCCAGAAGCTGTCTGCGCCGCCTCGTAAAATGGTTCCACGGTGACCTGCGACCGTGCGTTGGCCAAGCCGTGCTGGTGGTGATGCAGCATCTGTTCGCCGTAACCGAGAAATGCGTCTTGCTGCGAAGGCTGAATGGGCGAAAAAGCACCCGGAACACTACCAGTGAAGGCTGCTGCTGCTGCTTCTGGTCGCGCTATCCGAGAAGCCATGCGCGTGGCACCGAGCAAATCTGGCCCTGGGACAGGCCTTGAGCAGCGGTTCATACGCCTGCGCCGGTGGTAGTTTCCGTCCTTGAACATGTCCTTGTACGCAGGGTGCACACACCAATAATGGCCTTTGGCATCCGATGCGTCATCACGAGGCACCTGGCAGCAAGTAAAGGGAGCAGCAAATATCATCTTTTGACTAGTGTCGCTTAGTGGATGTAACTCGTGTCCTTGCAATCTTTCAGTTATTTCTCATTTTAAAGAAAGTTTAAGAAAAAAGTCATTTCTCCGAAAGGTTTTACGAATGCACATAGTGTGCTGAAAATATAAACACAATTTTTAGACACCCTTAAAAAGGGGCCGTTTTTGTTTCTGTGGGGGGCATCATTACGCGCTTCTTGAGTGGATCGAGACAATCTTATTTAAAAAGTTCTGCAGATCTCACCTACCTTGGGAACCAATATTATGCGAAGCATGCGGATGAAAGGTGACTGGGTTTGTAATTTTTTGTCGGCCGAGACGTCATGTAGTGGCGCTCAATATATTGACCATTCCATGCACACACATACGTTAAGCAGGCGCATATATTTTATATTAGCAGTTGTTGGCAGTTGCATATAGATGCCAACAGCAACAAGCCTATTAGCTACACCTGAAGTGGTAAGCTGAGATGAAGCGCTGGTGTATGCGCTGGGGCCCTAGCAGGGGCGGATCCAGCCACTCATTTTAGGAGGAGGGGCGGTCACCTGAAGTAACACTGAAGACGGGGCGTAGTCATGACTTCTTGTTTTACTAGCAGAAAAACTCCTAATAGGATAAATACTGTTTATGTGTGCTCAGAGTGGTTTCACTCAATTGGCATAATTGGTTACTGATGGTGGACTACAGGCACTGAAGTGAGGGGAGGGGGTTGCTGACGCAAACTTCGGGGGGAGGTCGATCATCTCTACCAACCCCAATGATTCTACTACAGGGCCCACGAGAATAGTAGCCCGCAACACTACTACACAAATCAACCTCAGTGGATGGCGGCTAACTACAATTGACGTTACCCGACATGACAGCTTTAAATTAGGTTTACATATGTAATTTTTATAAAATTTGGTAGCCAGTACTGCAACCAGGACTGACGCTTCACGAACATTAGGGTCAATTTGCAGAGTACTTCCGAGACCTGGCATGGCTCTGGGGTAGAACATTTGATTGGCACGCGGAAGGCTAGTGCTCAATTTCTGCTGGAACACTGACATATTCATTATTTGCATTCGTTTGGTCAATACTGCCTTCATAAGCTTTTTCCTAACGCTGAAGGGTTAAAATTACCCATGTGAGTTCTGGCCGTTCCTGGGTAGGTATGAAATATCTATATGTAGCACATACCCGCATACGAGTGGCACATACCCACCCTCGGTTGTGTGTCACTCTTTCGTGGAAAGCGTTTGGTGACGTACGTGACGAGATTGTGACCACATTCATGTCATGATCAGCGCGCCGTATTTGTCAAACCATCTTACTCTTTCGTACTAATTTTAATGTACCCCAAGTTAAGAGGGTAATCACGAGAGGACCCAGACGCAGGCGGTTAGATAGATAGATAGATGATAGATAGATAGATAGATAGATAGATAGATAGATAGATAGATAGATAGATAGATAGATAGATAGATAGATAGATAGATAGATAGATAGATAGCAAACGTGCTAGCAGTATGCAAAAAATTCTTTGCCTATAATATTGTCACTGATTCATGATGCTCACAAAGTAGAGACAGCTTGTCGAAATGAAAAGTGTTCATTTATTCGGCCGAATATGCGGCCAAGTAAAAGAAAAGACAGGTTACAGCAAGACGCAGGCACTGATAGCGGCGGGCAGAGCGTCAGCCGTCAACCAACTGACAAGCGGCGAAGCGTGTCGGAATTTATACACTTGTCATCGAACATTATAGCGTTATCGCTAGTGGTTGCGTAAGTTCCAGAATAATCTGAACGGTTCACGAAGTGGGCGTGATCTTAACAATACGATCTACTACAGCCTCGAAGCTTCTCTGACACCGTAGGTGTGGTTTGCGCTGAACATGGTGTAACGAAGTGATAGCCAAACTTGAGGAAAGGAACGCGGCAATAATTTACTTTCATTTTTGAAATTTTTTCCCCCTGTATCGGTGAACCAGCTGCAGCGGCTGCGTTTCCGATAGAGGTGGAAAATGTAGGCCCGTGTGCTCAGATTTGGATGCACGTTAAAGAACCCCAGGTGGTGGAAATTTCCGGAGCCCTCCACTACAGCGTCTCTGATAATCATATGGTAGTCAGTCTTGGGACGTTGAACCCCTCATACCAACATACCAGCATCGGAAATCCAGCATCCTTGCAGTGGACTTTTTCCCGACGAGTCAACGCAGTTCACTGTGAGTGTGGTGTCAGCATCTTCTATGAAGCCTAAATCGATGTGAAAATTGCTGGACGATAGTTCAATGGGGGTGTGAATAACAATTCTGAGCGCCGTAAGAAATATAAATACACGTCGAGTACGGTTCGAATAGTGCGAAACCACCTTTAAAGCAATAATTTTCAAAATTGTTCAAAACTTCAGCTACGTTTTGCTTCAAACAAATGTTCACAACATTAAAAAATGAATACTATCAATTGATTGATGCGACAAAAATCACCTAAATTTTGTGAACTGAAGCATGCTCACCAGTGGCCTACTCAGTCCAATCATACCTAAAATTTACTTGAGTGACTTCTTCACTATTGTGACACAGTATATTTTGCCAAGGACTGCAATAACTTGGAATTCACTCCACTCAGCTTTAGTCAAATGCCCTGCCGGCATCACCTTATCTACAGGCCTTCCAACTTTGATGCAACTTTGTCGCATTTTTGTGCCTATAATTCGTCACTAGGTTTTTCGTTGTAACAATAATATCTGACGTTTCACGTCCCAAAACACTCTTACAATTATAAAAAACGCCATAGTGGATGGCTCCGAAAATTTAGACCACCTCGTGTTCTTTAAGCTGCACTGACTTCGCGCAGTACACAGGCCTCTATCACTTCACCTACATTTAAATGCGATCACCACGGCTGGCATCGAACCCGTTACTTTTGGTTCAGCTGCCGAGTACCAATGTCCCGGCATCACCGAGGGGGACAGGATTTCATTATACTGCTGTTTTTAAATTAAACTGCGTTTTTGATTATCAAGGACTTTCTCTGTATCTTTTTATAGAGGATAGTTTTTCTTGGGGTCCTATCACGCAAAAATTTTCGTCTATCTGTCTGTCGGCACATTTCTCTATTTGTACGCCCTTGATGAATCGATACCCCAAACGACATCAAACGACACTCCAAACGGCTGACCGCATCCACAGCGCCCACCAAGGTTGCTCAACCTTTAGCGTTCATGCATGTGTGATTGTCAATAAAAATCAATTAAGGCGCATGTTTGAGGCACCATAACAACGCTTCAATATTCTGTATGTGTGTATTTTTACTGGAAAAGGCATACATAACTAATTCTAAGGACCGTAGCGCTTATCACGCTGCACTGATGATGCGACGCTTGCACGAAAAGGCAAGTGTTTCTAACGCTTTGCTAAGACAACACGGTGGTGGCACCTTATCACCTCCAAGACGGGCGCGCACGCCTCGCGCTTTGTTTTCCAAGATAACTGCCAGATAGCGCTAATGTCTCATGTGGGACGTGACGTGATGCGCTCGTTCGCCTCCGCTGCACGCTCGAGGCACTCTAACGCAGCGCCTCTAGAATTTCATTCACTGATTTTCTTGCGCCTAACATCATATAAACGTTATGTTCTCTCTCTCCAGACGCAATATCGACTACATTTGCAGTGTAGCATGCAGATACGGGGCCAATTCTTTCTTGTTTATTATTTCGATTTGATGTTTGTTCAGTTGTATCAATCATATCCACGTACGATTTTGAACTACGGGCAACTCTTGTGATTCATAAAAAGTGGGCATCTCGTAAATTGGCACGCACAACAAGTTTGTAATACAAAATTATGCCCTCAAGTCAATAAATCAAATATTTTAGAACTTCTTCGATTCCTCACAACCCTCATAAAACTTCTTGTCTGTTTGTATGTCTGTCAATCTATGTGTCTGTCTTGACGGGCGAGTTGGTGCACTTAACGTAGTGGGAGTGACTGTCAACATATTTGCACAGCACAAGAGTACGAGTAGTTAAGACGTAACTACAGAAGACTACTCGTAGTCTTCTTGTTCTGTGGAAATGTGTTGATTCCTAATCACCAACTAGCCCAAGCATCTGTCTTATCTGGAATAGCGGCACATTCGATCGCATCAACACAGTAGGCAAACGACAGTAAGCGGAAAGAGCGCAAACGATCAACTAGCCTTGTTTACTTGGTCGCTGCATTTGGCACTTTCTCACACCTCTCAAATAAACCCAAAGAAGGGATGGGAAGAAATACAGAAAGAAACACATGCCTAAATCATGTGATGCCCACGAATCGTGCCCTACTCTCTCTCTCTCTTTGCTGCTGCCTAGAAAGCTGAACGATGCGTTCACGAACGCGCAGGGAAACATCAACAAGCGTTATTTACTAGAAAAAAAGGAGCGAACTTGTCTGCGCTCGCTCGCCACGCACAGCTCGTGCATGGGGAGCGGGCCCGTATTTTCCAGGCAGCAGCGAAAACGTAGTAGGGCTTGAGCTTTTAAAAGCTTTTTATACTAGGAAAACATGCGACAACTACAATACAGACGTGTTCTCTGCTCTATACAGCCCAGTATGCTATTTTCTTAAATATTCTTCACAAGTGTTTCTCCTTTCAGGAGCTTGCTCGGCGAGCTTCTTATTCGCACCTTGCCAGGTCGCGGCGACGTCCAGCATGTACACCAGTGTTGTCAATGTACATTTCTCCGGTAAGAGCTCCGCTCACCTCCCCGGTGATTACAGCAATGCTCACTAAATGGCACGTCACATCCAAAGGCGTCGTTTCATGTGAAGGAGAGTAGACGAATAGATGAAGAGAGTAGATAGGCACGGAAGGTTTTTAAGGTATCTGTATAGGAAGAGCGCGGGCATAATGCGCAGAAAAATCACTAGGAGGCTCACCACTAAATATATGCCTGGAAGTTTGAGTGATATGGCAACAGGGAGCATTAAGCGAAA